TTGGCTATCTGGCCCCTAGCAGCTCTCCTCCCAGCACCTACTGACCAGCCTGGACCACCGCGTGAGCCGCGGCTCTCACTCCCACACGGTCTGTCTTGAGTCTTCATCCCAAGAACTGCACTTCTGACTGCTAAGGTGAGGCCCAGAACTCCCATCGGTTAACTGTGCTCACCTGTAAGTGCATTCCTGGTCCCCCAATTCTCCTCCCAGAACCTCAGCATCAAACTGTGCCCGTCTTGCTCTCGGGGGGCACTGCTCTGAACATGGGGTTTACATTTTGCCAAGCCACCGTGCCACCGGGCAGACACCAGATCTAAGCTCTCGTCACAAAGTGGGCTCAGAGCCAGGCAAAGGCAAAGAGCCAGCGGCCGGTCCCCGCCTGGCAGCGGCGCAGCGGAGGCCCAGACAGAGGGCACACCGCGTGCCCCGGCTGAGGTGTCCAGCTTGCACCTGCGGCCTGGCAGCAAGGCAACTCACAAGCTACCTCCACGTTTACAATTCTTTTTTTTTTTTTTTGTCGGTCGTGGGGCTTGAACTCTGGGCCTGGGCGCTGTCCCTCAGCTCTTCAGCTCAAGGTGAGCGCTCTACCACTTGAGCTACAGCGCCACTTCCGGTTTTCTGGTGGTTTATTGGAGATAGGAGTCTCACGGTCTCTCCTGCCTGGGCTGGCTTTGAACCATGATCCTCAGATCTCAGCCTCCTGAGTAGCTAGGATTACAGGCGTGAGCCACCAGCGCCTGGTCCACGTTTACAATTCTACATGTAGTATGGTCACCATTTGTACAACCATGACCGCAATCCATTTTCTTTTTTTGTGGGTCATGGGGCTTGAACTCTGGGCTTGGGTGCTGTTCCTGCACTCTTCAGCTCAAGGCGAGCGCTCTACCGCTGGAGCCACAACGCCACTTCCAGTTTTCCAGTGGTTTATTGGAGATAAGAGTCTCATGGTCTTTCCTGCCCAGGCTGGCTTTGAACCGCAATCCTCAGATCTCATCCTCCTGAGCCACCAGTGCCTGCTTACAATCCATTTTCAACATTTCCATCACCTCAGAGATAAATCCAGCCTCCACCCACTAGTGGTCACTCTGTGTGGCTTCTTGGCCCCTGGCAATTCTAATTCCCATGTGCTTTCTGTGTCTGTGAACTTGCCTATTTTGGACATTTAATATCAATGAAATTATGCCATGTGTGCTGTGCTGTGTCTGACTTATTTCACTTAGCATGGTGTTTTCAAGATTGTAGCAAGTGCCAGACTTCCTTTTTGTATCTGAAATGCATTCGCTTGCAGAGATATGCCACAGCTGCTGATAGACCTTTGGCTAGTTTCCATTTTTTTGTCATTGAGAACAGGACTACTGTGCTATTTTTGTGTGTGGGGGGGGGGAAGGTCGGTTGTGGGGTTTTTACTCTGGGCTTGGGCGCAGTCCCTGTGCTCTTCAGCTCAAGGTGAACACTCTATCACTTGAGCCACAGCGCCACTTCCTACTGTGGATATTCCTATACAAACTTGTGTTTGGACACCTGTTTCCAGTTCTTTTTTTTTTTTTTGGGGGGGGGGGGAGGTAACCAGTGCTGGAACCTGGAGATTAAGTCTCACAGACTTTGCTGTCAAGGCTGGCTCTAGACTGTGGTCTTCACCTGTCAGCTTCCTAAGTAGCTGGGATTTATAGGCTTGAGCCACCGCCAGTCTCTGGCTACCTATTTCCAGTTCATTTAGAGATTGGAATTGCTAGGTCCTATGTCAGTGTTGTGTGGAACTTACTGAGAAGTCATTAAACGTATCTGTGACAGCGGACGACTCACTCTCCCACCTGTAGTGAATGAGGGCTCTGCTTTCTCCCTGTTCTCACTAGCACTTGCCATTTCCACGCTTTTGCCCATAGCCACCCATTGGGCGCAAGGGAGTGTCTGCAGTGCAGGTGAATCTCGAGTCTTGGCCATACACCATCAGCACCATGTTGGCCTCTGGTCTTGGTGCAGATGGCCTGAACGCAGAAGCCTAGCACGGCGTGTCTTCAAGGACCTGCCCTCTGGGAAGATCTTACCAGGCCTGGGGCACTAAAAACTCCACGGGGACATCTGAGGCACAGAGGAGAAGCTGGCCCTGGATAGTGATAAAGCCAGGCTGTCCTGTTTTTGTTGCTGTTGTTTTCTGAGCTGGGAGGAAAAAAAGGGTATGAGGAGTCTTGGAGCATGTAGGTCCCAGTCCCTTGGCTTCAGAGTTGTCAGTCATTGAGGGGGGGCTTCAGAGTTGTTAGTCATTGAGTGCGGGGGGGGGGCCAGCGGGTCTTGGGTTAGAGGAGGACTGAGTTCCAGGGAAGGTTGGCTTAAGTCCTCTTTGCTTCTGCTACTAGTGTTGAATAAACCAAAACACAAACTTGTGGTTCACTGTGTAGACTAAATCTTGTTACAAACAAATACTGGAGAATATAACATGCATGCTCTTCACTGGTCCTGGAATTTCACTGGCAATCCTAACAGCGACCCTGCTGAGCACTTTCCGCATGGGCTCCCATAATCCCTCACAACCTTCCGACAGAGGTACGGTCATTACCCCGCTTTAAAGTAGAGGAAATGGGGGTACAGAGAGAGGTCACAGGCCCTGCCAGGATTTCCCTGCCAGGAAGTGGCTCAAGGCCAGGACAGTGTGCAGCATTCTGCACAGCCATGCCACCAGCTGGAAGTTAGCATTTCTCTGCGGAGACCCGGAATAAGACGCCTAGGGAGAAGGACTCCTGGGGCAGGCTCCTGCCCTATGCTGAAATCCAGAACAAGTCCGCCTTCACAGCCTGGGTATCTGAGCGGACACTTCAGGATAATGAAGCCGCTGTCCTGAGCCAATCTCAAACATGGCCTTTAAACCGACCCAGCCATGGTGGAATGTCAAGTGCAGACTTCAGAATGAGTAAACCAAGGTGAAGATCTAGAGTTTTCTCAGCTTCTCTGAACTCCTTTTCCATCAGGAAAGTGGGCATCTCCCCCAGTGTCTGGGAGTTGACCTGAACCCCTCACCACCCCCTCCCCGACCTGCCAGTGGACCTGAACCCCTCACCCCCCCCCCCCCGACCTGCCAGTGGACCTGAACCCCTCACCCCCCCCCCCGACCTGCCAGTGGACCTGAACCCCTCGCCCCCCCGACCTGCCAGTGGACCTGAACCCCTCACCCCCCCGACCTGCCAGTGGACCTGAACCCCTCACCCACCCCCGTGTGTCACAGCTGCGCAGTTATGTGGCGCACCTTCAGGTGCACGTGGCATGTTAGTTCTGAAGTGCCATTTCAGGCTTCTCTCTTCGTTCTTCAAGAGCCAGCCTGCTGGCTATGCTGAAGTGTGTGTGTGTGTGTGTGTGTGTGTGTGTGTGTGTGTGTTGATCCAGGGGCTTGAACTCAGGGCCTAGGCACTGTCCCTGAGTCTTTAAGAGTCTCAGGGACTTTTCCTACCTGGGTTGGCTTTGAACCTTGATCCTCAGATCTCAGCCTCCTGAGTGTCTAGGATGACAGGCGTGAGCCTGTAAGCCATGGGCTTGGATTGTCATCACTCAGCCTGGCACAGAAGCTCAAAAGTGCCCTGGCTGCAGCCACTGCCCCCAGCAGCTCCTTCTAAGTGAGAGGCTTTCTCTTCTCTGGACTTAGGAGGCCGGCCGCAGAAGTCCTACCAGGTGCATGGACCCTTGTCCTCAAAGGCAGGCCTGTTCGCTGTGTTTAGGAAGAGACCACCAGCCAGTAGGCAGAGGTGTGAGGGAAAAGGCGTGTGCATGTGCGTGCTTTCCTCTCACCACCACCGCCTCCACCATCCTTCTAGTTCGGGTCTCAGGACAGGAGTGTGGTCCTACGTCGTCCACCTAAGCCAGGGCGGGGCACGTGAAGGGACAGTGGACTCCCAAGGCCAGCACCCAGGGAGATGTTCTGATTTGCAGGTCACCAAGCCGGCAGCGCGCCCCGGCCCCGCAGGGAGCGGCTGCGGGGTCCCCGGGGTCCTCGCGTGCGCCCCCGCCCCGCCCCCTCTGATGCAGCGCCCCTGGCGCGGTCCCCGCGGCGTGGGCCGAGGCGCCCGTCCCTCCCCGGGGCTGTCCGAGGGAGCGGGGCCTCGACACACCTGTCCGCTCCCCGGGCGGCCCCGCGCGGCCGCTGCCAGGCCTGGGCGCCGAGCCTCGCGTCCGCCCGCTTTGATCCCGGGGGCCCGGCGGGATAAAAGTCCCGGGCGGCCCCGCGCCAGCGCCAGAGGGGAGCGCGGCGCAGCCCAGCCGGGCACACCACCCGGGAGGCGCGGCGCGGGCGACGCCGGGGAGTCGGGGCGGCGGTGAGCGCGGGGCGGCGGCGAGGCCCGGGCCCGGGTGGAGGGAGGCTCGGCGGCCCCAGGTGCGAGCCCGCGCCCCGCGCCGTCGGGTCGGGCGGCGCCGCCCGCGCCCCGCGCGCCCCCCTCCCCGGCGGGGCGCCGCCCGCTCCCCGCCCCCGGCCGCTCCCAGGGCGGGGGCCGCGGCGCCGGGCTGACCGCGGCGAGTGGAGCCTCCGGGGCCGCCCGGCGGCGCTGCCCCCCACGGAGCCGGGCCCCGAGCGCCTCCGGCGGCCGCGGCGGGGTAGGCCAGGCCCCTCCGTCAGCCTTGCGGTTTGGGAAGAAAAGGCGATGCCTCCGCCAAGAAGGGAGCGAGCGCGGCCCCCTTCCCCCTCCGCGGAGTCCGGGCGGCGGCGGCGCCTCTGACGCGCGGGCACCCGGGCCGCCGCGGCCCCCGCAAACTACGCCCAGCCCGGCCCCCGCCGCTCATTGGCGCGGGCCCGAGCCGGCGCACCCAGACCCGGCGCTGCCCCCGGCCGGCCCGCGTGGACGCCGAGCTGCGGACGGAGCCCGCGCCCCCGGGCTCGGCAGCCTCGACGCCGCCGGGAGCCCGCGTGCGGAAGCGGGGGGCCGGCGAGGAGGGCGCCCCGGGGCCGCGCGCCCGCCGCCGCCCCGCCGCTCACAGCCGCCCGCTCTCCGCAGGTGGCCGCGGGCCCGCGTGGCGCGGCCATGGGCCGGGCGCTGCGCGCGCTGCTGCTGCTCGGCCTCCTGCACTGGGCCGGCGGCGGCGAGGGCCGGAGGACCTGGCGACGCCGGGGCCAGCCGCCGCCCCCGCCGCGGGCCGAGGCGGCGCCCGGCGCAGGGCCGCCGGTGGAGAGCTTCCCGCTGGACTTCACGGCCGTGGAGGGCAACATGGACAGCTTCCTGGCGCAGGTCAAGAGCCTGGCGCAGTCCCTGTACCCCTGCTCGGCGCAGCAGCTCAGCGAGGACCTGCGGCTGCACCTCCTGCTCAACACGTCGGTGACCTGCAACGACGGCAGCCCGGCCGGGTGAGGCCCCGCCGCGCGCCCCGCCACCTCCCCGCCGGCGGCGCCCGCGCGCCAGCGGAGCGGACCGGACGCGGAGGCGCGGCGCGTGCGCCCACCGCCCGCACCCGCCGGGCGCCCGGGCGGCTCGGCGCGGTGCCTCCCCGCGGGGACGGGCGCCGGAGCGGCGCTGCTCCTGCGGAAGAGGACTCGCGGGGATGTGGAGTCCCGGGGCCCCGCCGCAGCGCTCCGGGGAGTGGGGAACCCCGGTCCGGCGGAGGGGCGGGAGAGGGCGCGGGAGGGCGCAAGGCCCGGTGCCGCAGTGACACACGGAGTGGGGAGGGTACGGACGTGAGGCCGGGGCCGGCGCGGGCGGGCGCCGCACCGCGCGGGCCGTGTCCCGCAGAGCCTCGGGCGCCTCGCCCCGCTCGCCCCCGTCCACGCGCGGGCGCCGCTCCGTGCCGGCCGTCGGCGCCGAGGTGACCGCGGGTCCCGCGCCGGGCGGGCGGGCCGTGGGGATTTTCCACGGACCTTCCCCGCCCCGCGAGCGCCATCTCCCGGGAGCGCCGCGGGCTCGCGGGCGGCCGCGCTCCGCGCGAGCTGCGCGCCGGCGCCCCCGTGCGGCGGCCGCGCTCCGGGCGACAGGTGTCCTGACGGACGCTCGGCGCCCCGACGGGAGGCGCGGGCGCGGGGGGGGGGGGGGGGGGGAGCCGGACAGCCGCTGCGGCCAGCGGCTGACCGCCGGCTCCGCTCTGCTCACGCACATCCTCCCGCAGCTACTACCTGAAAGAGTCCAAGGGCAGCCGGCGGTGGCTCCTCTTTCTGGAAGGTGGGTCCCAGAGACTGAGGCGCCGCGGGGAGACGGGGGTCTCCCCGGGAGGGGGGCCTCCCGGTGGGCTGGGTGGGGAGGGGTCTCCCAGCGGGCGGGGCCTGCGTGTGGGCGGGGTCTCCCGGTGGGCGGGGCCTCGCATGGGCCTCTGGTGGGCGGGGCGATGGGCGGGCAGAGCCTCCTGATGGGCCGGGTCTCCCGGTGGGCGGGGCCTGCGTGTGGGCGGGGCCTCCCGGACGGAGACCAGCCCGTGGCCGCGCCTGCAGGGGGCTGGTACTGCTTCAGCCGGGAGAACTGCGACTCCAGATACAACTCCATGCGGCGCCTCATGAGCTCCAAAGACTGGCCGCGCACCCGCACAGGTCAGCAGCACGCGGCCGGCCGGAGACAGCGGGCCGGGGCACGGCCCCACCCACCCTTCCTCCCCACCCCGGGCTGCGCCCCCCTCCGCCCCGTCACCCCTCCTCATCTGGGGTGGGGTGGGGTGTCAGAGGTCACATCCGCTGTCACAGAGCCCAGGCGCCACCTCCCACTTCCTCCGGCCCCGGGGGGCTGCTGTGACCCCGCTTTGCTGCCCTCGACGCTTGCGATGCTGGGGTGCGGTGCGCCCCCCGCCTGCCCCGCCTGCCCCGCCCCAGGAGGACCCCTCTGCCCCGCAGGCACCGGGATCCTGTCCTCCCAGCCCGAGGAGAACCCCCACTGGTGGAACGCCAACATGGTGTAAGGGCGGGCCTGGGGCCTGGGCGAGGCCTTGCGGGGCGGCGGGGGGCCCGTCCCGGCCGTCCTGGGCGGGCCTTGCGGGCGGGGGGCGTCCTCTCCCGGCTCCCCTGGCCCGCCGCGGCCCGCAGGCTCACGTGATCCGCCTTGCAGCTTCATCCCGTACTGCTCCAGCGACGTCTGGAGCGGGACGTCCTCTGGCTCCGAGAAGAGTGAGTCCTGGCGAGCGGGCCCTGCGGGAGGGCGGCGGGGAGACAGGCCGACTAGACAGACCGACTCCCGTGCGGGCCCCCCTGAGCTCCTCCCCACGGTCCACCTGGCCGGCGCCCCAGCTGCCCGGGCCCTGCTCCTGGGTGTAAAGCGCGACCCCTGCTTGCGCCTACCCAGCCCCAGCCAGGTCCCAGAACCCCTCTTCCCGGCGGCCTGAGGCAGGGGCCTGTTGCGGCCGGACCCCACCTGAAGCCCCCCTCTGTGCAGACGAATACGCCTTCATGGGCGCCCTGATCATCCGGGAGGTGGTGCGAGAGCTTCTGGGCAAAGGGCTGAGCGCCGCCAAGGTGCTGCTGCTGGCCGGGAGCAGGTGGGCAGGAGGGGGGAGGGGAGGAGGGGCATGGAGGGGGTCGGATGGGGCCCGGTGGCAGGAGGGGGAGGGTGGAGAGGGGAGGGGGAGGTGCTGGTGGGGAGGAGGGGTGTGGAGGGAGGAGAGGGGAGAGGGGGAGAGGGGGAGAGGGGCAGCAGCGCCCTGCAGACCTCTGCGTGGAGCACTGCTGGCAGGGAGAGCCAGGCTCCTTAGGGTCAGCTAGACATCTACCCTCAGAGTGCACTGTAGTCGGAAGCTCGCAGAGGTGGTTTCTGAGTTGCAGTGACCTGGGCGGTTGGTTTGTGGTCAGCTGTGGTTCACAATGTCCTTTCTCCAGGGGCCCGGGTTTTATAGCCCAGGGTTATGCCCCACTGGTCAGTCACTGTGGTGCACAAGGCAGACAGGGCACCTACGTGGACAGAAACTGAAGCAGAGAGAGGAAGGGAAAGGAAGGAGGAAGAGCTCAGCTCCGGGATGAAGGAGGCCATCTCCACCGCGGGCAGCCCTGGAGGGCGGGCTGCGGCACTGCCAGTCCTTCTTTGCCTCCAGACTTCCAGAAGACCCCCCTTCCTTGCATGGGGACAGGGCTGGAGCCCAAGTGTCAGGACACCTCATTGGGAGGCTGTGGGGCTTTTTGGGCTCCTGCTCAGGGCCTGGGCTGGGACTGGCGGCACCCTGGCTCCCCGGCCTCATGTGTGCCCTTCCCGGCAGCGCTGGGGGCACTGGGGTGCTGTTGAACGTGGACCGGGTGGCTGAGCAGCTGGAGGAGCTGGGCTATCCGGCCATCCACGTGAGGGGCCTGGCTGACTCCGGCTGGTTTCTGGACAATAAGCAATACCGCCGGACAGACTGCCTGGACACCATCACCTGTGCGCCCACAGAGGCCGTCCGCAGAGGCATCAGGTGCCCCAGCCTTCATGCCAGGCCCTGTGTGCTGAGGGGGGGCGAGGGGGGCATGGGGCAGCAGGGCGGGGGGGCAGGGGGAGGGCATGGAAGGCCAGGCGGTGGGGGGCATGGGGCGTCAGGGCGGGGGGGGTAAGGGAGGGAGGGCATGGGAGGCAGGGCAGGGGGCATGAGGGGCAGGGCAGAGGGGCAGGGGGAGGGCATGGGGAGGCAGGGTGGAGGAGGCAGGGCAGGAGGAGGGCATGGGAGGCAGGGCGGGGGAGGCAAGGCCGGGGGGTAGGGGGAGGACATGGGGGGCAGGGTGGGAGAGGCAGGGCAGGGGGACAGGGCAGGGCGGGGGAGGCATGGGGAGGGCATGGGGGGCAGGGCGGGGGAGGCAGGGCAGGGGGAGGGCGGGGGGCTTGAGGGGCAGGGGGGCAGGGGGCCAGGGGGAGGGCATGGGGAGGCAGGGTGGAGGAGGCAGGGCAGGAGGAGGGCATGGGAGGCCAGGGTAGGGGGCAGGGCTGGGGGAGGGCATGGGAGGCCAGGGTGGGGGGGCATGGGACGGCAGGGCGGGGGGGGGGTAGGGGGCAGGGCAGAGGGAGAGCAGGGGAGGCTAGGGTGGGAGGGCATGGGGCGGCAGGGGGAGGGAATGGGGGGCAGGCCAGCAGGCGGGGACAGGGCATGGCTGGGGGACGGGAGTCTCTGCTGTGAGCGCCCCCCCCCCCCCAAACACACACACAGCCTGACCACATCTGTGATGTAGGTACTGGAACGGCATGGTCCCGGACCGCTGTCGGCGCCAGTTTAAGGAGGGCGAGGAGTGGAACTGCTTCTTTGGCTATAAAGTCTACCCAACGCTGCGCTGTGAGTGGCCAGCACAGATGCGCCAGCGGGGTAGGGGGTGTCCGGGCTGATGCACCCCTTCTGAAAGGCCAGACGAGTCCCGCCCGAGGAGGCGGCCACACTATGCCAGGGTGGCCGGTCCCCCCTCTGCCGGGACCGTCCCTTTGGTCTCTGGGCTGTCCCCTGACTGTGCTGCTGCTGACGTCCCCTGCCTCGCCCCCCTCCGCCCGTGCTGCCCGCCTGTGCTGTGGCACCGGACAGGGACCTCCTCAGCCCCATAGCTTTGCTTATCACCCAATTTTTTATCAGAGTGAAATGCCTGACAGCCAGGCCAAAGTGATAGCAGCTTTGTAAGGGGCCCTCTTCAAGGAAAGATAGGTTCTTTTATTTTATTCATTCATTTATTTATTTACTTATTTTGCCGGTCCTGGGGGCTGAACTCTGGGCCTGGGCGCTGTCCCTCAGCTCTTCAGCTCAAGGCTAGCGCTCTACCACTTGAGCCACAGCGCCACTTCCTGCTTTTTTCTTTTTGCTTATGTGGTGCTGAGGAATCAAACCCAGGACCTCATGCATGCAAGGCAAGCGCTCTACCACTGAGCCACCTTCCCAGCCCAAAAGATAGGTTCTTTAAAAAAAAAAAAAAAAAGAGGGCTGGGAAGGTGGTTCAGTGGTGGAGCGCTTGCCTTGCATGCTTGAGGCCCTGGGTTCGATTCCTCAGCACCACATAAGCAGAAAAAAAAAAAAAAAGCCTGAAATGGCCCTGTGGCTCAAGTGGTAGAGTGCTAGCCTTAAGCTGAAAAGCTGAGGGACAGCGCCCAGGCCCAGAGTTCAGGCCCCAAGACTGGACCCCTCCCCTCCAGAAAAAAAAGAAGGGGAAGCCAGGCACCGGTGGCTCACGCCTGTCATCCTAGCTACTCAGGAGGCTGAGATCTGAGGTTCAAAGCCAGCCTGGGCAAGAAAGTCTGTGAGACTCTTATCTCTAATAAACCACTCAGAAAACTGGAAGTGGCGCTAAGGCTCAAGTGGTAGAGCACTCCCCTTGAGCTGAACAGCTGAGGGACAGTGCCCAGGCCCAGAGTTCAGGCCCCACGACCAACAAGGGAAAAAAAGTGGGGGGGGGGGGGGGCTTGTAATGTGGCTCTGTGGTACAGTGCTTGCCTAGCACACATGAAGCCCCAGGTTCAATTCCTCAGTACTACATTCAGAAAAAGCTGCAAGTGGCTCTGTGGCTCAAGTGGTAGAGTGCTAGCCTTGAGCAAAAGAAGGTCAGGGGCAGTGCCCAGGCCCTGAGTTCAAGTCCCAGGACTTGGGGAGGACGGGGGAGGGGCTGGGTGCACTCACCTCGCAGGCAGCAAGCTCTGGGTTCCATCTCCAGGACTGCGGGGCAGGGAGGGGGAGAAAGGACATGGGATGGGGGAGTGTGATGGAGCCAGCTGGGCCTTCAGTGCCAAGCCCAGCTGGACTGAACTGTGTCCCCCACCAGGCCCAGTGTTCGTGGTACAGTGGCTGTTCGACGAGGCCCAGCTGACTGTGGACAATGTACACCTCACAGGCCAGCCCGTCCAGGAGGGCCAGTGGCTGTATATCCAGAACCTAGGCCGTGAGCTGCGCAGCACGCTCAAGGATGTGCCGTGAGTGTGTGCTGGGGTCCTGCTCTGCTTGGCTCACGCAGCCGCTGTGTTCCAAAACAGGCCTCAGCCAGGCACCAGTGGCTCACGCCTGTGGTCCTGGCTACTCAGGAGTCTGAGATCTGGAGGATCAAGGACCAAGCCAGCCCAGGCAGAAAAAGTTCCTGAGACTCCATCTGTAAATAATCAGCAGAAACAAAGCTGGAGGCGTGAGGGAAGGGCTCACATAGTAAGAAAGCCAGCTTAGCAAGCAAGCGGGCAAGCTTGAGGCCCTGAGTTCAAATCCCCTGACAGAAAGATGTAAAAAAGAAAGAAACCGCAACAACAAAAGAGGAAGAAAAAAAATGCCCGAGGTCTCAAAATGGCATGCACCTGCTCTGGATAGCGTCCTGCTGCTGCCCGGCAGGCCGCAGCCAGAGGAGGGCTAAGGAAGACTTGGAGTGACAGAGGGCAGACGCTGGCAGGGAGCTGTGGGGTAAGAGCTGGGCGGCTGGAAGGGAAGGACAGACCCAGGGGAGTGGACGGAGCTGGCGGCGGGGTTAGTGCAGGGAGCGGCTGGCGCATCCAGCTCAGGCTGTCTGTCTTTCGTCCACCAGGGCCAGCTTTGCCCCTGCCTGCCTCTCGCACGAGATCATCATCCGGAGGTCAGTGCTCTGGGCTCTGGGGCAGCACAAGTCCTCCCACAGGTCCTCCGGGAGCCCCCCCCCTCCCCTGACTCCTTGTGAAGGGTTTTCTTCCGGGGACTTCCAGCACTGGTTGTGGGGCCAGAATGAAGCCTCTGCCCCCCGCAGCGGTGGTAGAGACCCCTCCTCCCCGTGACCTGTCTCCGTTTCTGTCTGCAGCCATTGGACAGACATCCAGGTGAAGGGCACCTCGCTGCCCCGGGCGCTGCACTGCTGGGACAGAAGCCTCCATGACAGCCACAAGGCCAGCAAGGCCCCCCTGAAGGGCTGCCCCTTCCACCTGCTGGACAGCTGCCCCTGGCCCCACTGCAACCCCTCGTGCCCCACAATCCGCGACCAGTTCACAGGTCAGGAGATGAACGTGGCACAGTTCCTCATGCACATGGGCTTTGACGTACAGACCGTGGCCCAGCAGCAGGGACTGGAGCCCAGCAGGCTGCTAGGGATGCTGAGCACTGGGAGCTAGGCCCCGGGCTGCCTCAGGTCCACCACCAGGCCCTCCTGCCTCTCCCAGAGCCCATGGAGCCCTACCTGCTCCCCACCTGGGTGAGGACACCTGCGGAGCCGGCCCTGCGTTTGGAGGGCCTGGCCGGGGAGGAGGCCCGCCCCCTCTCAGCCCTCCCTGGAGCGGTCAGCAGCACCGGACATCCCTGCCCTGCCTCAGCGCATCACGTCCTTTGGCATTATTTTATAAAGTGACTCTTTTTTATTACTTTAATTTTTTAAAAAAGGAAAATAAGAAATATATGATGAATGATATTGCTCTGTAACATATATTTTTTAAATAATGAAAAAAAACGACAAAAGAAACTCTCCTTGTGGCCTCGTTTCTTTTGTTATGTGTGTTTGTGTGTGCCTAAGCTCCAGTGCTAGTCCTTGGGTTTGATCTCAGGACCTCAGGCTCTTGGCTCAACATTTTCTACTCAAAGCTGGTTTGGGCTGGGAAGGTGACTTAGTGGTAGAGCACTTGCCTAGCATGCATGAAGCCCTGGGTTCCATTCCTCAGTACCACATACACAGAAAAAGCTAGAAACGGTGCTGTGGCTCAAGTGGTAGAACGCTAGCCTTGAGCAAAAGCAGCTCATAGACAATGCCCAGGCCCTGAGTTCAAGCCCCAGAACTGGCCAAAAAAAAAATGCTGGTGCTCTATCACTTGAGCTACGTATCCACTCCCAGCAGTTTGCTGGCTAATTGGAGATGAGTCTTTCAGATTTGTCTGCCCAGGCTGGCTTTGAACTGCCATCCTCAGATGTCAGCCTCCTGAGTAGCTAAGATTGCAGTTGTGACCGTGGGGTGCCATTCTGCCCACAGGGCAGTGTGGGCACCTGAAGAGGGCCTAGGCTCCAACTCCTGACCCTTTCCTGGATATTCAGTGGTCCACCTCATCTCACATCCTGCTCAAGCCCCTCTGAGGAGGCTGCTCATCCATTCATCAAACGCCCACAACCCAGGGTGGGCGGTCGCAGCAGAAGCCACTTTTCATTTTTCTATTGAGAAATTAAATAAGCCAGGCACTGGTGGCTCACACCTGTAATCCTAGCTACTCAGGAGGCTGAGATCTGAGGATCAAGGTTCAAAGTCAGCCCAGGCAGAAAAGTCTATGACACTTTTTTTTCCTGCATGTTCTGGGGCTTGAATTCACAGTCTAGATGTTGTTCCTCGGCCTTTTTGTGCTCAGGCTAGTACTCTACCACTTGGCCGCAGTGCCACTTCTGGCTTTTTCTGAGTGGTCTGTTGGAGGTAACAGTCTTACAGACTTTCCTGCCTGGGCTGACTTCAAATTATGCTCAGATCTCAGCCTCCTAAGTATAAGTGTGAGCCACCAGTGCCCAGCCCTGAAACTCTCATCTCCAATTAACCACCAGAAAATGGGAAGTGGCACTGAGGCTCCTGTGGTAGAGCTCTCGCATTGAGCAAAAGAGCTCAAGGACAGTGCCCAGGCCCAGAGTTCAAGCCCTGCAGCAAAAATAAAGAGGACTGGGAAGGTGGCTCAGTGGTAGAGCGCTTGCCTTACATGCCTGAGGTCTTGGGTTCAATTCCTCAGCACCACATAAGCAAAAAGAAAAAGCCGGAAGTGGTGCTGTGGCTCAAGTGGTAGAGCGCTAGCCTTGAGCTGAAAAGCTGAGGGACAGCGCCCAGGCCCACAGTTCAGGCCCCACGACCGGACCCAAAACAAAACAAAAAAAAAATTAATTAAATAAATAAATAAGATCTTTGATCAGGTATCAAAGGAGAAAACTTACAAAACTATCAAGTTCATTTCAGGAACAGGAGAAGGAGCTTGGAGAAGCATCTGGTGATGGTTCTCAAACTTCCCAGCAGCGATCACTGGGTGAAGCTTCTCTAGGTCAGTGGTTTTGTTCTGAGGAGGGAGGTGTCCATGGAATGATCTGGCATCCAGCATATGCAAAATAAATGAATTAATTACCCAATGAGGGTAGTCAGGGTAAAATGCGAGCCGTTTTGCGCTAGGAATCTGTACAGTGGCGCACTCTGGGTGAGCAAGGACCTGGGTTCCAGGGCCTTTTTTTGGTTGGTTTTCTTTTTCTTTTTTTTTTTTGCGGGTCATGGGCCTGAACTCTGGGCCTGGGCGCTATCCTTCAGCTCTTCAGCTCAAGACTAGTGCCCTACCAATTGAGCCACAGTGCCACTTCTAGCTTTTTCCATTTATGTGATGCTGAGAAATCGAACCCAGGGCCTCATGCGTGCAAGGCAAGCGCTCTACCACTAAGCCACCTTCCCAGCCCCTTGGTTTTCTTTTGAGGCAGAGGTTTCATTATGTAGCCGAGGTTGGCCTTGAACTTGCAATCCCCCTTCCTTAGCCTCCAAACTAGAAAAACAATGATACACTCTAGATAAAAGGCATACATAGCAAGGCCTTGTCAAGAAAGTAAAGGAAGAAGGAGAGGGAGGAAGGCAGGAGGGGGAAGGGAGGTGGGAAGGGGGGGAGAGTAGGAGGGTTGAGTTGTTTCTAAGTGTTAAGTTTCTCTGCATGCCTGAAGGGTACAGGAGTTTCAAGATGTTCCCTGGAAATAATAAGTAAAAGTCAAACACTCTGGTGATGGCAGGAGGCCATGGCCAGACTGCAGGCAGCCTTTGGTCTGTGGGACCCCCACCCCTGTTCTTCCCCCAGGGCTCCGCAAGAGTTTCTTGGGCCCCTGGGACAATGACAACAAGGTCCTGGGTCTAAGCAGAGCTCTGAATTAGCCACTGGCCTGACGGGCTGGGATAAACTACCTACCGGAGAGGAGAGGAATCTCCGGCAGACCACCAGGAGCCAAGTTCCCCCCCCCCCCCCCCCGCCCACCGTAGGCTCCCCCCCCTCCCCAGCAGGACTCCCACCCCTCCCCAGCCGTGAGCCCTGGAGGCTGCTTCAGCTGGAGTCTGTGCCCCTCTCCCTGCTGACTCCCCGACTCCCCACCCCTCCCCCACACCGACCAGAGGGACAGACACAGGTGCTCTGGAGGCCCGAGGTGGGTGGTGCCAGCAGCCAGGGGGTTAACGGGTCTTGCAGGGGCTCCACGTGGGACAGGGTCAGATGTCCTCCGGGACGGGGAGAGGACGGGGAGAGGCGTGCAGGCTGCTATTCCAGGGCTCTGATCTCGGTGCCGCTGCCTATTTATAGTGCTTGGTGCTCCTCACACAGGCTGCTGCCGCTGCTGCCGTGTTGCGGGTGGCACTGCAGAGCCTGCCTCCATCTGCCGCTGCACAGAGGACAGAGCGCCCCGGCCCGGCACAGACCTCCGGCTGCCGGACACTGAATGAGGCTAGGGTGATCAGCAGGATGGGCAGCGCCATGGACCCCTCTGGAGGTGCCTACCTGCACCTGGGTGCGGTGATGTCCCCGGTGGGCACCGCCCGCGTGCTGCAGCTGGCTTTTGGCTGCACGACTTTTAGCCTGGTGGCCCACAGGGGCGGTTTTGCGGGTGTCCAGGGTACCTTCTGCATGGCTTCCTGGGGCTTCTGCTTTGCCCTCTCCGTCCTGATTGTGGCCTTTGAGTTCACGAAGCTCCATGGCTGCCTGCGTCTCTCCTGGGGCAACTTCACAGCAGCCTTTGCCATGCTGGCCACGCTGCTCTCAGCCACAGCCGCTGTCATCTACCCGCTGTACTTCACCCGGCTGGAGTGCCCACCCGAGCCCGCCGGCTGCACGGCCAGGAACTTCCGCCTGGCCGCCAGTGTCTTTGCCGGACTCCTCTTCCTGGCCTATGCTGCAGAGGTAGCCCTAACACGAGCCAGGCCTGGCCAAGTAGCCAGCTACATGGCCACTGTATCTGGGCTCCTGAAGATAGTCCAGGCCTTTGTGGCCTGCATCATCTTTGGAGCCCTGGTCTATGACAGCCGCTACGGGCGCTACATGGCCACCCAGTGGTGTGTGGCTGTGTACAGCCTGTGCTTCCTGGCCACAGTGGCTGTGGTGGTCCTGAGCGTGTTGGGCCACACAGGGGGCCTGGGCTGCCCATTCGATCGCCTAGTAGTGGTGTACACCTTCCTGGCCGTTCTCCTCTACCTCAGCGCTGCCGTCATCTGGCCCGTCTTCTGTTTTGACCCCAAGTACGGGGAACCCGTGCGGCCCCTCCACTGCCCCCAGGGCAGCTGCCCCTGGGACAGCCAGTTGGTGGTAGCCATTTTCACCTATGTCAACTTGCTTCTCTACATCGTTGATCTTGCCTACTCCCAGAGGATCCGCTTCGTGCCCACCCTGTAGACTGGCGAGCTGCTGCCTGTCTGCTTCTGCTGTCTGGCCAAGGGCACGTGAGGTGGCCAAGGTGACCCAAGACCTCAGAAACAAGCAGGAGGGCCCGGGGCAAATGCAAGGGGAGAAATGGAGGAAGGACAGAGGGACAGGAAAGCGGGGCTGTTCCGCTCACAGGCTTTTGTTCTTCCTAGTTCTCTCCCTGTCTCTGCTCTCCTGGCCTCCCTGGGCTCAGTGCTGGTCACCAGAACATGGGAACCTTTTGGAGCAGGTGCTGTTGTGACCCATCTTGAAAAGGAGGACCGTGAGGCTAGATGAGCTTCAGAGGGGTCTGGAGATGGCTCTGAGACTGGAGTTAGACATTGGGAAGGGAGATGGGCATTGGTGGCTCACACCTGTCATCCTAGCTACTCAGGAGGCTGAGATCTGAAGATTGTAGTTCAAAGCCAGCCAGGGCAGGAAAGTCTGTGAAACTCTTATCTCCAATAAACTACTAGAAAATCGGAAGTGGTTGGGACTTGATTGGTAGAATGTTATCCTTCAGCAAAAAAGCTCGGGGACAGCACTCAGGCCCTGAGTTCAAGCCCTAGGACCAATATACACATACACAAACTAAGTTGGGAAGGGAATCGTTTCCAGAGGTGTGGAAGGGATGGGAAGAAGCCCAGGAGAGCACCAGGGCCGGTCCTTCTGAGGGGTGTGGGAGCTGGGACCCTCCCTTAACCCTGGGAGGAGAACCCGGCTCAGGAGCAGCATGTATTCGGAGAAAAGCCCAGAGACTGGGCTCCAGCCTCACCAGCCTGTTCAGGACGGCTTTCCAGGCTCAGCAGGCCGGAGTGGCAGCAGTGGGTTGGCGGGGTCTGACATGAGTAGGACCACAAGGAGCAGTGCCCCCCACCGTGGGCTCCTGCAGGGTCTGTCCCGCAGGGCCCTGGGAGGCCAGCTTGCTGGGAGGCCGGCCTGCTGGGCAGCACTGACACAGAGCAAGCAACTGCGCCACTGCGGCATGCAGCCTGGGCACCAGGTGCCTCTCCTCAAGTATCTGCTTGTTTTGGATGCCAGGCCCTGGGTGGCATGCTCCTCCCCCATGCTCCAGCCAATTTCTTCTGTTCAAGCCTG